CTCAACTCTGACCCTTTGAAGGTCGAGATAGAGGGACCCCGGTTCCGTCATTCTCTGCCATACTTCAGGTTTGACTTGTAGGATTATGTGTGTAGTTTTGGGGTTTCTGGTGCGTTTTTTGAATTTTATTGCCACTTTCCTGTCTTCTTCAGGTAGGCCCTCAAAAATTACCCTATTTTGGGCGTGGAGTGCGCTTATTACTTCTCCGTCTTCGCTATCCACGTATACCTCTTTCAAGACCACGAGAGGGTCTTTGTTTCGCATGGGAGCTACCTTAAGTCCTTCCCAGCGACTCTCTATGGTCTTTCGGACCCTCTCCATTTCGTCTTTGGTGTCACACCCTAAAATGACCATCTGGTTTTTAGCTTTCCGGTCTTTGTGTACTTTCAGGCCGGTGCCTCTGGCATCAACCGCCCTCTTCACCCTGGTGAGAACCTCGTCGGCGGTCTCCAGGCCTCCCTCCAGGGTTACCGCTATTGAGTGGAGTGCGGGGCGGTGAGGGGGCTTAGCCAACGCTGCGACGCTGGCGTAAGATCTTTGGACCGGGACCGGAGTTGGGTTTGCAGAAACCAGTCCTTTTGCGACCTCCAGAAACTCCTGTTTCGCTTCGACGACCTGCCCGGCAACACCACTGGCCAGGTCTCTGAGGAGAGCGCGCGTCCGATCCCCGACCTCCTCGGTCGTTTGATCCATAGCAATCTTGGTCTCCTCGAGCCTTTTGTCGATCTTGCCGATCAGTTCGGAGCTTCGTTGCTCGCTGTTAGTTTCGAGCGAACTAATGTTTTGCCACATACACTGTGACATACTTTTAAGCATCCCTGTGATCGATTCTTGCATCGCGGAGTTTCGTTCGCCTGCATCCACCTCGAGTCCCTGCAGGTCCGTCTGCAAAGTATTTCTTGTTCATACCATTGCCGTGGTTATGGCGTGGCATATGGTTCACAGATTCGTTAAAAGATACATCACAGTCTGTAAACATATACAACTGTGGCGACTCCCACATTCAAAGAAACAGAAACATACTACAGCGCCATCTAATGAAGACACACCGAACTACGGAGTAACTACTAAAATAAGAATTGCTAATCCTGTATCGCGATATAAAGAATTCCCTCGCCGATTAGCATATAAACAACTTCCCAACATCAACCGTTGGGGCCGCGGCCCGCCAGGCATGATCACCTCGCCTGGTCGGAGGATCCTCCCTTTGTGTTGGAGGGACATGACACCCGTTCCTCCTCAGTGGTGACCCCGACGTGATTGGAAGCAGCCTTCAAAAAGGAGCAGATCATCAGCAGCACCATCGTGTACACTCCCACAGCGATGAGCAGTAATCAAGTCTCAGCCAGCCAGCAACCTCGGCCTCTACAGGGATACCACACGCAGGTAGCGACCGCTCCAGCCTGGTTACCTCTACGGCCTCATCAGCGTCTAGGCACAGCACACTGCACCTACGGTCCACGTAAGAAGAGCATTTTCTCTCCCGTCTACGCAGCAGCCAGCCACTACGCAGCAACCGCCCCGACTCACTGGGGACTTCACCGCAGCACCGCGCACCGCACGCTTTCCCGACTCACTGGGATCAGCGGACTTCAGACCCGACTCACTGGGGCTAGCGGCACTCAGTTCCGACCCACTGGAACTAGCGGCAATCAGTTCCGACTCACTGGAACTACTCATTACTGGCACTGGCACGCTCCACAACAGGGCATAGACAGCTGACTCATCATATATCGACCTCCGGTCTTGGAGGGGAGTGATGTGGCGACTCCCACATTCAAAGAAACAGAAACATACTACAGCGCCATCTAATGAAGACACACCGAACTACGGAGTAACTACTAAAATAAGAATTGCTAATCCTGTATCGCGATATAAAGAATTCCCTCGCCGATTAGCATATAAACAACTTCCCAACATCAACCGTTGGGGCCGCGGCCCGCCAGGCATGATCACCTCGCCTGGTCGGAGGATCCTCCCTTTGTGTTGGAGGGACATGACACCCGTTCCTCCTCACAACAATTGCTCGTTTAAAGGTATTAGATGACTGATTAGCTGCGACATTCCTCTGTGTATTAGATATATGTACGAGTATTACATATGCGTTTTAGATAGATAAAACTTTAATAACAATAACATTTACAACAAATGTGTATGAGCTACTTTATTTTACATAAGTTTAGTTAGCAAAACATTTCATCGACTAATGCTTAGAAAAGGATAACCTGTGCTTTAAGCATCAGGAACCATTCGTTAACTCTGTATATGAATTAATTATATGACTGAACAGGTACTACATAAAATAAAATAAACTATAAATATGAAAAAAAAAAAAAAGTTCATCTGATTCAATTACAATTTATCTCATCACATGTGTGGGTGTGTGTAGCGCGTGCATGCATGTGTGTAAGTGTAGGTGGGTGTATATGTGTGTTTTGGTTATCTGGCATATCATCTTACAGTAAGCGCCATAGGGCGGTGTGGATAATTGACTCCGTTTCATCGTATTTAAGCTTCTGGTCTTAAACGATTTTCTTACACGCATGTTTACTTTTGTCGTGAAAGTTATAAGTTGTTATTTAGCTTGTGGTATAGGTATCTACCGAGAAAATAGTAATATTTCTGTGCAAAAAAAGTGTTGTGTGTGAAGGGAATGTCAATGAACGATATTTTTACGTTTTGGGCGTACTTGTGTCAGAGAATAGTGTGAAGAGCAGGCAAGCTCTAAGTCCCTGTGTTTTTTCAATACTGTTTGAAAAATGAAGATTTGATGCACAGTAAGGACTTCACAATATGTATATAGGTCCATCGCCAGAAAACGATAGCCCTTGTAGGTCCAAACCTTAAGTATAGCCCTTTGTGCACGTTTGGTTTCTATTAAATGGGTTTCTGCTGTCCCGCCCCAATTTGAAATGCAATATCCAATTACTGATTGACAGAGTGCGTAGTGGTTTTCTACGCACTCTGTCAAGTTTTAGTTACATTAGGATCAGCAACGTGCCTGAGGTGTTTGAAAACAAAAATAAGTTTGCGCACTCTGCCAGATAGCTTATTGATATGGGGTTGGAAGGATAGATGATCGTCTACTATGACTCCTAAATAACGAGTAGTAGATGTATGTGTAAGTTGCTGACAGAAACATTCAAAATTACAGTCAGCTTATTTATGGACTCTGATGTTGAACTCCTGATTTTTTAAGTCATGAATAAGGTTTTGTCAACATTGAGAGTTTAGTAGATTATCTGTAAGCCACTGCAAATGCCACTATTCCACCGTTCTCTAAAGCAAGTTCGCATATATCGTTCACATACACTAAAAACAAAGTATGGCCAAGGATGCTTCGTTGTGGGACGCCATGGACAACTGGGCGTTCACTACTGATATGGCTATGAACTACATTGTGTAAGATTAGTTAAATAGGCCTGGAAGAGTTTCAATTGATTTCCACGGACCCCTATCGATTTCAATTTACAATAGAGACCATGTCAAATGCCTTTTTCAAATCTAGGAGAATCGTTATATATTTTTCTTTTTTGTCTAGTGCTTCTACCACGAAATTAGTGAGATCACGGACTGAGATATTTTTTGAGTCTGTTATTCATAATTCGCTCCAGTATTTTGAAGAGAGCAGACGGTATAGATATTGGTCTAAAATTGCGGTCATCATTTTTAGCTCCTGTTTTATGAATAGGATGCACGAGAGCTTTCTTTAGGAGGTCTGGAAATATGCCAGTGTTAATGCACAGTTTGTACGTAAACTGTTTATTATTTTTTCCACTTCAATTTCATCCGTTTCTAGGAATACTAAGGAATTCCTGCTGTTATAGTTCAGGCAATCTGTCCTCTGGTCGTTGTAAGCTGGTACAGTGTCATTTATTCAGCTAGGTTCTTACCGACTTCAACAAAGTATTTGTTAACCATGTAATTAATACCTGTGTTATGCAAATAAACAATCTGAATCTAAATCTTAACGATGTCAACGGAGTCCTGTGTACAGCGATCTGTTGAAAGCAATTCCTTAGCTGACTTTTTTTTCATTAGTGGACGTCCTTGATAAAGCTCCAAAGCTTTCTAGGATTAGTGTACGCTTTCCTAATTTCATATAGTTTCTTTGTCAAAAAAATTTAGTATGGTCAAATAAATTAAGCCAAAACCTCCTTTCTAAGGAGAGGCCTATGTCCAGTAGTGGACTAGTAAAGGCTGTTGATGATGATGAACTAAATTATCGCATCGATACATCTATCTAACCAATACTGGTTAGAATAAAATATTTTCTATGATGAAACATTTATTTTCTCAAGAATTCTTATAAAAATTGGCGGTCATTAACACTATCTAATATTATTCCTAATCGATGAACAAACATTTTTTATAAGACATATACTTAAGAATAATCTTTAATATCATTGACATTAGTCATTATTGTCGTGCCAGTTTTTGTTGTTCATTCTTAGTTCATTGACTTGAACAATTGTTTCTCGAGTACCTGTAATTTCTTTTAAATCATTTTTGTATACTCTTAGTCCTTTAATATATATGTACATGTACAATATTTATATACTATAACCAATACCATATATGTCTATAAACAATCAATGATGTTTTTGGTATGTATTTACTTTCTAGACATAATTGTACGTACTAATATTTTTTTTAGAATCTTTAAATACGCACGAGGTGCATTGAACTTTATAAAAACCAAATCCAAGTATTTATATTTTAACAGACTGATATTTAAAGTAGCTAATTGCAATAAGAATAGTTTAGGTAATTTAAAACAGTAAAAGTATATATAAAATAATTTAAAATTTGTTTGGCGATTGCAATAATTTGATACTATGTTCTTCTATTGAAGGAGGCGAAAACGTCATCCTTTTTAAAAGTCAACGATGATCCCATGATGATCAACAAAATAGTAACCGTGAAACAGTAATTGATCATTTTTGAAATCTCGTAATTTAAAAATGAAGCACTAGTTCTAAATATTTATTTTTTTACAGATTTATGTTTAACGAAACGTGGTCCTCAACCTGGATACATGTTCCTGTTCGATATGCGAGGTGTTAAATTTGGACATCTTACTCGAGTTAGCTTATCGTAAGTATTTTGGATTTTATATTCCAGTGGCAACTACACAGATTACCCCCTAATCTATGGGTGTGTGGTAATCTGTGGGCAAATAGTAATGAGATGCCTGCGAGTACTTTTATCGCTACTTCTTATTCCTCAGATTTTATAGTTATTTTGGTACCATAACTAAGTACTTAAGATAATTATTAATAGAAATAACAACATATTACTGGAGCTAAAAAAACTTTAAATTTAAATAATATTTTTCACTCGTCCGTGTGTAAGAGTAGTAATGCACCGACATTGTGTTTGCTTGTTTCAATGGAAATTGCTATTAATATGTAAGTATCCTGTACTTATGCCTTATACTCTTTTATCGTGTCCTATTAAATGAGGACTTTGACCACTATGTGGGCGTATTGCTGGCTGGAAACTAAGATACGCGGGTAATTGACGATGTTTTTCTTCACGGCCTTCATCGACGTGAGAATTGAGACGCTAATTATATCTAATATATGCCTCCTAAGGTGATTTTTGTAGTCATAATGTTAGTTAAATGTAATGTTCTAGAACTGTCAGTACAAATATTTATATTTCCATAGCTTCCAAAAGGATAGACAAAGGTAATACACGTGTGTGAATCTGAATCAGTTATTAAACAAGTACAAGAACCTTTAATACCTTATAGATACTATATCTATAAAAAAATATTTCGATTTTGTTTGAACAGTAAAATATTTTTGAATTTATTGAGTTCGTACTTTTTTATAACTTTCACTAATAAGACCTAGATTTTTTTTCTGTTTGGCTGTTAAATATGTATTTTACGTCCTTTCTAATGTTACTAATGTTTACTAGCGAACTCATGGTCTATATAGCTGACAATATATTCATAACTGTTCAATTGTAAGATTTAGTTCTTCTCGTCAGACCACATGGTTCAGTATTAGTTGCATCGAACCAAGCTAACGTTTCCCATCCACGTAATCTATCACGCTGTTCGATAAGAATTTATGGTTTGCTCGTAAAGGTTGTTAGAGCAATGTTTAATAGCCTCTAAACTTTTTGAGAGTTTGAGATTATGAAATATAATTAATATTCAAGGCCAATATACTAGTAAGTTCCAGAGATTGGTGCATTCAACCAAATAACTTCCTTGTTATATGACCATGCGTTTCTGTGGGAAAACTTTGCAACTTGTTCATATTTGTTTAAGTTTAACTTGTTTTAATTTGTACATTAAAATGAAAGTAACTAAGAAAATAAAATTATCCGTGTGGTGACGGACTAAGAATACGTGTTAGTGTGTCACTGCCCCTATTCATCCCGTGGGTTTTTATAAGAGTCGACTAACACAGAACAAATTATTATGATTATCATCAAAAGCCTCTGATAGTCCCCTGCTGAACATACTCGTAGGCCTCTCCTTAGAAAGGTTTTGCCCTACTATACCACGCTTGCCAGACGGGTTGGTATAGGGTTTGTTTCAAGTTTTCCTTCTCCTTACAGTGCTGTTGTCCTGCGTAGTTTGATCCCTCAGTCGGCTCTTACGACCCTCATAGGGGTGGTTACACTCCGTACTCTTAATCCGTCACCACGCCGATAATTTATTTGTCCTAGTTGGGAATTTTGGAATAATTTATTTATCTCTACATTGGAATAAATAGAAAAGAGGTGTTTTGCGAGGTTCGATGTAAATTTCAACAAACCATTTGGCCTGTTAAAATCACTCGTAACCTCTTTATCAACCATCGTTAATAGTTATCTAATCATTCGTACTAACTTCCTAATAACCTTGTATGGTAGTAAATAAAGGAATATGGTAATATTTTCAGGACACTCCGTAAATTCTTCACGTATGTACAAGAAGCGATGCCGGTACGCATGCGAGCTATACACGTATTGAACACAGAACCGGTTTTAGACAAGTTAATGTTACTCATCAGGCCGTTCATGGACAAAAAATTCTACGACATGGTAAGTTCTACTATCAAGTTTATATGATAATTATGTACTCACCTAGTATTTATAAGTACTTAATAGGTATTTATATTTAAGTACTACTTTACTAATAATATTTTTTGGAACTATTCCTTTATTTGTGCTGCAAGACGTTTCTTTTTTCCAAATTTCGTGATTCTAGGTCAACGGGAACTACCATATAGGTTTTCGACCTAAAACCTATAGGGCTAAACAGCACAAGTAAAGAGAAAATTTTGAAAAATAAAAAAAGTTGAAAATTAAGGTAAATTTTGGTTTTCGCGAAAATCGAATCCATGTGTGTCCAAAATGTCTTGATAATTACTACAGGGCGCGCAACAAATAGTCACATTCGTATTTGTATCATTTTGGATGTGAATAATGAGTATTATGATTAGATATTTAAATGAAAAATAAAAGACAACAGACAAGCAAAGTAAGCGATCACTTGCTACCTAATTTTTCGCGTACATTACTTAAATAGTAGTAGTAAATACATACAATGTCGCATATACAAGTACCTATAATGTTTATTCAATTCGCGGCTATTTCTTACCACTCGTTTCACGACTTTGAGATATCTTAACCTTGTCATATTCGACGATGGAAAACGAGTTGGTCGTATAATTATGACTTATAAATAAATATTTGAGCTCCGTGCTCTATGGGTCTGTGTCAACGCTGTATAATAGTGACGCTGTAGTCGATACATGTTTTGTGAACAAAAAAAAAACGGTTTAGTACATATTTGTCGATTGTCGTACTTATTTGCGATTTATGAGTCTTTACAACAACAGAAGCATTTTTTTTCTTTTAAATGAATTTAATAGACGTAAAATTTAAAAAATCAATTAATCAATTCAATTTTAAGAGACCATATCCTTCTTAAATTTAATTAGGTGACCAGTATGGAGAATATTGATATTTAATGATATTCATACACAACCTATAGCTACCAGTATATATAGTTATCAATTTTCGATAACTGACAGTTGATTTACAGGTACGAGGGTGCGTTTTTAAGGTCGCGGAATGAGAGGGTTGCAGGGGGGTGATTAGAATCGTCACGTGTTCAGTGACTCGAATTAGTATAAATACCAGGTTTCATTGTTATTAGACAATTAGTCTTTGAGTTATCGTCAACCAAGCAACATAATCGGGAGTGAAAAGTGAAACATGGAAAAAATCGAATATCGTGCCGTTATAAAGTTCCTTACCAAGCAAGGAAAATCAGTTGCGACCATAATGAATGAGATGTCATTGGTTTACAGCGACTCTTGTCCAGGAAAAACCATGGTGTACAAATGGCACAGTTTATTTAAACAAGGAAGGGAATCCCTTGAAGACGACCCAAGGCCGGGCAGGAGCATCGAGGTAATCACGCCAGAACTTATCCAAAAAGTCGAAAAAATTGTACTCGACGATGCTCGACTAAAGAAGAAACAACTCGCAGAAATGGTTGGAGTATCTGATACAACCATTTTTAGAATTCTGCACGATCATTTTGGTATGACAAAGGTCAGTGCAAGATGGGTGCCGAGAATGCTCACGCCGACGCAAAAACAACAGCGCGTAGAGTGTTCACGTGCATTTTTAGACCTTTGTAATGAAGACAAGGATGCTGTATTGAGTAGAATTGTTACTGGAGACGAAACTTGGGTTCATCATTATGAATCTGAGTCGAAACAAGACTCCATGCAGTGGCATAAAAAGGGCACAGCACTTCCCAAGAAGTTTAAGGTGTCACAGTCAGCTGGGAAACTCATGGCAACGGTCTTTTGGGACTCAGAAGGAATATTATTGATCGATTATAAAGATAAAGGTGTTTCTATAACCGAAGAATATATACGCTTCAATATTAGAGCGACTCAAAGAAGCCATTAAAGAGAAAAGACGGGGAAAATTGACAAAAGGTGTCTTGCTTTTTCACGACAACGCGCCCGTCCACAAGAGCCGCGTTGCGTTGGCTGCCCTGCATAAGGTGGGCTTCGATATTTTGAATCACCCACCCTACAGCCCAGACCTGGCCCCCAGCGATTATTACCTGTTTCCAAAAATGAAAAAAGAGCTGCGGGGTAAAAAATTTACCAACGATGATGAAGTCAAGGAGGCAGTTTCGGCGTATTTTGAAGACAAAGAGAAAACATTTTTTTATGAGGGTATAAACAAATTAATTGAAAGTTCTGAAAAATGTATCCGTCTTGCAGGTGAATATATTGAAAAGGAAAAATAATTTGGTTTTTTTTATTTCCACCCCTTATCCACCATTCCGCGAACATAAAAACGCTCCCTCGTATATATTTGAGACTTTTAAAAGTCCACTGATTTGCACTGAATTGTTTTAAGCCTCTAAGACCGTGGGAGAGCCATGCTTTGGCACGAATGGGCTGGTTCGACCGGAGTAACAGAACACCGGTGTTGAGCAATTCTTTCGTTGCCTTTCACTTAGTGAGTGAGGTTACCGGAGCCTAAATCCCCCCTCCCGCTCGAGTCAGCGGGACTCCAAGGGCAGCAACGCACTTGTGACTTTTGAGTTGCAGGTGTCCATGGGCGGCGGTAGTTGCTTACCATCAGGTGGCCGTCTGCTCGTTTGCCCCCTTATACCATAAAAAAAGGTATTTTCTAGGTACCTACTACTATGGTGACTAGGTCTTATAGGCAATTTACACGCATGGCGAGCCTCGACAAGTGTCCACATACACAAGCGTGTAAGCGGGGCATTTGGCTCGGCTCGCGTATGTCGTCGATCGGTACTAGTGTCTTTTTTTGAACACAGATCAAAAGAACCTCGCGGCAAGCGTTTACGTGCGTGCGACGTATTTACACGTTGGCGCGTGCTTGTTCCCTACTGCTCAATTTGATATTACAAATCGTATTGTAGTTGAGCAGTCGGGAATCAACATTAAGCGCAGTTTAGTTGAGCAGTAGGCCAAGGGCTTTTTTTTTAGTTTAGTGCCGCCGTTTATATTTTGAATAAAAATATGTCCAAGTCTGCTATGTTTGCCTGTCCGGAACACAATAGCACACTCGCAAGCGTGTAAATGGCATCCAAGGGTTTGTAAAGACTCGGAGCTTATCTACGATTGCTAAGCTTCGGCACGCATGTAAACTAGGCATTAGGTATATTGTTAAAATTGACATGTTATATTTTATGCATTTCTGTTATCTTTTCAGCTCAAATTCCATAACAAAAATGAAGATTTAGAAAAGTTCTACGAAACAGTCGTACCCCGATCGTCTTTACCTCCTGACTACGGTGGCACACTTCCAGACACGCAGACCCTGCACAAGAAATGCATGCAACAACTTCAACTCTTGGAGCCTTACTTCAAAGCTGAAGAAGAGCAGCGGATCGCGGCTTTACCTGACAAGAAGCGAGAGAAGGCTATGGAGCGAGCTTTCAAGAACTTGGACATAGACTAGTGTGACTGGTTCATTGCTCCTTTTAAACTCTGATATTATAATGAAAGAAGTGTTTTTTTAAACAATAGTATTTGTTATTGACGTAAACAACCTTCAGTGTAAGGTTTATTATAATTTACTGTATGTATTTTCATACAAAGGTTTTCTTTTTTCGTTATATTGGTTATATAGAGTACACTTTGCATTTTGGTTTTGCGTTTATTAAACACGTAGAAATATCTATGGTCACATATTTAACCTATCGTGTTGACGCAGTGGTAAATCATACTTGAAATATAACCGCAAAAAGTCAATTATAGTACTATAATTATGTTAAAACACATTACGAAATATACAAAGTGTTATAACTACGTAAAAAATTATAAAACCGGTATAATAAAAACGTTCATACGTCATTGCAACTCGTAGATGTATATCGCCGTTAAAGTTGTTTTTTTCTTCAGTTTATTGCCAAACAGGTTATACAGATATTTATAAAATATTAATGTATTATAATTTGCGATAATATCAATATCACCTGAAATTCCTGAATTTCGAATTTGATGCGGATTAAAGTTAAATTTATGTGTGTTATTGAAAGTTATTTATTTATAATGTATTTTATTAATGAGATACTTGTGCAATAGTCTATTGTTTTTTCGTTAAAACAAGATGGCTGACTTTATTATATATAAAATTGTAAAACAATGTTTAACACATATAAGATATGTATGCAAATAGAAATATAGTTTAAGGTAATGTTCGACAAAGGTGGCATAAAGTTTAGTACCTAGGTACACACTTATTCTGGAAACCGCTAAAATAAAACTAAACGAATTCACGATTTAAATTCATACCCGTCAATCAAGCTTGCTAAAACCTATTTATTTATAAGTAAAACGTAAAAGAATTCAAATTGTATTTGAGACAAAATGCTTTCGAAATGTTCGAATGTTTTTGGGAAATACGTTTACCAAATTGACGTATTGTTAAGTGTGTTGTTAGAAAAGCGTTAGAATAAAAAACTTTCGTAAGTGGTATTCACATTTATTAAAGACTAGTTTTCGCACGCAGCTTCTCCATATTATGTTGCACCCCTTAAGAACAAGATCAAGAAATTATAGGTGCAATCAAGCAAGGACCATGGATGACCATTAATTACGGAAATAAGTACAACTCCTTAGGGAAATCCTCCTCTAACAAGATGACAGAATTTATATTAAGCGAAACAACTGGCGAAAGCTATCTTTAATAAATTAGAAAAATCTTTGTTAGTTTATAAAAATGTGTTATCTCGTTGTTACTCTATACCTTTTTAAGCTTGCGATTGGTGATAAATATAATGGTTACCCTCTGTATATGTTGTGTGATAGAATATTTGGTAATAGTATGTTTATTTCAAATGATCATTGACTTAAAAATGCATTTTCTTTTTAAAATCGATAATAATTTATATCAAGTAAATATGTAAATTAACTAAATAAACCAAGCGTTTATAATTTATTTATTCACATAAAAAATATTCATTTATTTATTAAAAATTATCACAAAACATCAGTGAAGTTCCAACAATGCGTAAGTAACAAGTAATGCGATGGGACAAGTCCCAGAGCTTATTTTCTATCGGCTAGAAAGAAAATAGATACCTAACCAATAGCGTTACATATTTAAATAAAACTGATACTGCGTTAGGAAACCTACACGGTAAAATGGTAACCATGTAGGTCAAAACAGCGTGTCACTGAATTGTTAACGGATTCGTAACCTATAAGTAAAGTGATCCGTGAGATTTGTTAACAATTTCAGCTGGAACAGAATAAACAGTTTAAAATTATTTTAAAGCGATTGTTACAAATAACGGTTTCATCTTCATGTAAAGAACTCACTTTAATTTTTGATCCACTTCGAAAAGACAGTTATTTCGCTTGACATTTTTTGTCAAGCGAAATAACTTTTGTTTTGACAGTGTTAGAATTTCAATGATGATAACTGTAGTTAATACATTTAATTCGAATAGTTCATTCGTTACATTCAAACACTACCTTGAATAGGTTATATACTCTAGAAGAAGTAAGTTAAAACACTGAATATTTAGACGTTGAAAAGGATTATTATTTAACAATTTGGTTTCTTCAAACCTAATGTTATTACCTACACGCACTTGTACATATAACCCAAGCCATGTATAATAATATAGTTTTACCAATTTTCAAATGTTCGAGTCACTCTTTAAAAATATTTACTGAATATAAATAAGTCGAGGTCACAAACATGAAAGGTTAATCGTCAGACGCAATTCATGTAGTAATTAGAATTGCTGATTCTACTTGAATAGGTAAATTAAAAGACTTAACTAATGAACGTTGTAAACAATGCCAAGATGTTGTAAAGACAAAGGTTGCTAAGCCATGTGAAGACTGTTATCTATACATGCCATTTAAAATTACTTGCCTTCACTAACTGATTCATCAATGCAGAGCCCAAATCGTTGGGGCTACAAACTTAAAATTGTGGCAGCTGTTGTGTTTTATGTTGTATGCACCAACTCAGAAAGGATTTTTGGAAATTTCATCGCTAAGGGGGTAAAATAAAGGATGAACGTACGTGTATGGAAGTTCATCATTTTCAAGGTTAGAAAAACGCAATATTCACGCCAGCGAATCCCTCCCGAATAATCAAGAAATATATGCATTATTACGGGTAACGAACTTTCAACCTCTGATTGTAATCAAATACAATAGACAGTCAACGCGTTAGTTACAACAGTTACATAAAAAGAGTCGTCATGTTTGCTTAACCTTTTTTGCCTTTCCAGTATTGATATCAACTCTACTATTACTATTAAAATAATCGTATAAGAGGCAGGTGGATGAAGTTTAGATTGACATAAATATAGCATTGATTGCATATATATATGTAAGTCTAGATAGAGCTTCAATTCAATTTCAATGTGGCATGATGCTGTATCTTGACATACATGATAATATATTCCTCACTAAATAGTTGGCTTAAAGCCCTAAGGTGCTAATATGACAAGATTATTAAAGTATTTTGGCAGCTCGGTTGCAAACATGTCATGACAAATATACATTTTTTATATTATGTTTAGGACATATTGTAGGACAAAAAAATATAGTCCTCAAAATAGGATACATCACTGTTTATCCCTTCGGGGGCGACGTGAGTGTATGTGTGTATATTGCTTTGGCATTAGAGCATCGTCGTATTTACCATAGGTCGGTAGCTCGTAAAAAAAGTAAATATAATCTTAAAAGACCCGATGTCGTAAGTAACCATCGAGTTTATATTATTCTGAATTAAAATTTCTTCTGCGGCCGATTGTGAGACTTTGCATGTGTAAAAATTGTATTTTATGAACATCATATAAGCGAAGAATACACGTTAAGATCAGACGTTTTATTAACAGTTTAAATAACTCCAATATTGTCGTTGTAAATTTTTCGTCACTAATATTAGTCATGTAGGGTGGCGGTAAGGTGTCTACGTACTTAATATTACGTGCACAGTAGCCTAAATTTATCTCAAAATGTACCTAATTCCTTTGAAAAGTTTGTGATATGGTAGGTGTGTTACGAAAATGGGATTTGTTTTACTGATTCAGAGTCGAAAATTGTGATTTAAACTAGAAATATATTTTTATGCAAACATATGCTGTTTTAATTGTGCTAAACCAAATTCTAAAAAGTCAGTGTAATATCAAGGAAGTTTTTTAAATGAGTGGATTAAGAATGACAATATGTATAGGTCAAAAGAGTAATTGATTGACCTATTGGTCTAGTGCTTAGTGAGGCTGACTGCCAAACCAGAAGCCGCAGATTCGAGTCCCATCCAGGACTAATCATTGTTTGATGAGTATCATATTTTGTTCAGTGTCTGGGTGTCATTTATCTATAAGTTATTAAAGATATATATTAGGTATATTATATACCTACCTATGTATAATTTTAAAGGTAAATAAGGCATGTTTCTTAGCAGTCTGGTTACCACAGTACAGTCTCTAGCTACTTTGGAATAAAAATATATATATACGCAGGTAAAGCGAACATTAAGTGCTCTGCTTTTTGGCACTGATATTTTATTTGTCAAATTATTTTTACCATATCTCTATGGTGTTGCCAGGTATCAGGCATCCTAAATCTTTTTTTAATCCTGTTTTTGACAATACAAGAATCGCATTAGACTTTTAAACGGTTAAAACAGTTTTATCAAGGCGTAGGATTCCCAATTAAAAATATAATATGTACTGTACATATGTTTAGTTCAATAAATACGTCTCGGAAAGGAAAAGGTTCAGGGTTGGAAGATCTGTAAAACACAAATAATTTCTGGGTTTGTAATCCTGGGGCAAATTATTTAATTATGTGTCTGGAGATATGTATTTTAGAAAATACTATTTATATTATCTAATTCATTTATTACAACACAAAAGTTATCCAAATCAGACAAAACATCTTCCTCGTTTCTTTCTTTTTCATTTTGCCCGCCTTAAACTGTCAAGGTATCAGTGTGTCCAGTGCAAATAAAATGACACATTGGGGTCAATACATTAAAAGCTTGAATGAGTGAATTGAATTATAGTTTAAAAACCATCTATAACTAGCCGAACTAAAAAGTAGAAAATAATTTTCTATAAGTTCAAAAAGAAAATTTATTTTATCGCAAAAATACGTGGAGTGCTAGATGCCATTGTTGTAATAATTTTATTAACAGATACTCACAGCAAATCTCAGAAATCACAGTACAAGAGGGACATACAAAACCACTCGAATACAGAGTAGGGTTGTTCCAAGGTTTTACATTTAATACAGTTATAAATATATTCATAGATAGTATCACAACATCAAAAGAAGTGAGGCTACTAGTTTAAGGTCAATGGAAAATATATGGAATCCATCTTAGCATTCGCAGACGACCTCGCGATCCTCACACGTAACTTGAAGCATGCCAAGAACTTACTACTGCGTAATGTGGATGACTTCTGTACCTGACGGAGGGAATGAGGACAAAACCTAGCAAATGCTATTGTATTTGTCTGGGCCGGCGAGGTAACAGATTTACCTCATATGACCCCGGGATTACTATTGGTGGGGAAAGTGTTTCAATAATATCAGTAACCGTGCCCTTTAAATTCCTTGAAAGAAAGATAGACTACAAAGGTCGTACTCTATCTATGAACGCAATAGTCGATGACTTCGTAAAAGACATTGACAAGGTAGACCAACAGCCAATAAGTAACGAAAAAAAGCTTGGATTTACGACAACTACTTAACATCACGTCTCAACTGATCGTTTCTAGTATACTCGTAAAATATAAAACACAACCATTTAAGAACACTGGACGCAAAAGTCACTAAGAGATTGAAGTTGTGGTTCGGGCTAGCAACATCTACAGACACGTCAACGTTGTACATGGGCTCGAATAACTTTGGAATGAAATTAAAAAGAACTGTACAAACACCTAATAGTTACCGAAATCGCTATTCTATTCACGTCGCCATGATAGGGTATTACAAATCATCAACTCAAACCGACAACACTCATCAAATCAACAAGCTATAAGTTTATCGCTGGCGAGTGCGAAAAAAGGAATAACAACAAACATAAGAACTAACATCGCGTTTGTAAAGGAAGGCTCAACCAAAAAGACTTCACAAAAGCCGTAGTTAGTTAGTAAATCATTACAGAATACCGGAGGATATCTGTAGCTCGGCGTCCAGACCAGACATATTTCTTTATGCAATTTCAATTAAGCGTGTAGTACTAGTAAAACTCATGGTGCCGTTGGAAACGAACATCCTTAAAGACCACTCCTCTACCTCTACCTCCTCTACCTAACCATACTTGATACGTCAAGTATGGTTAGGTAGAGGGGGTAACACACCAGACAGTGGAGGTGAGCGCAGACGCGTTGCAAGGAGTATTCCCTAAACTTATTTCTGGATCGCAAGTCCCAGGCGCTGTCGAAGTCGCATGTTTTGCCCCCATCTATCACGCGATGGACCCGGCACCCGCACGGTGAATGAAATAGGACTAATGTGATATACGAAAAAAAATGCCAAAAAAAAAAACTCCTTTCTAGAGAGAGGCCTATGTCCAGAAGTGGACTAGTATAGGCTGTTGATGGTGATGATGATGATATACGTAAGAATACATAGGCCACATTTGATACTGAAATTCGGAAAGAATCTCTTACACAGCTAACTACTTAAACTACTGCTACACTAAAAGTTTAATACTAAAAGCTAACTACTAAAAGTTTAATAAAGGCGTATTTAAATCAGTAAAAAAACTTATAGCTTCATTCATATCTAGAAAATAATTACAAAGAAATCCACTTCCATATCTTCGCATATCATAAAAAAAATTAAAGTCTACATCGAAATTGCCGCTTGCTTCACTTTTCTATCATTTACACAAAATACATCATTACTCGCTGTTCACCTTTGATTCGCCGTACAGTAGTACTGAGCATCCCTATTAAGAAGTAAAAATATATGACAATAAATAATTATTGAAATTTCTCACTTTAAGTTCTTTTGAAATCAAAAATTATATTTGAGTTACACTTTGTTAATATTTACAATTTACATTTAGCACGTAACGATAAAATCATATCGATAAAGGTCAACGTGTCGATCTTTTCTATCAAATTAGTAAGGTCTACTTTAACTGTCAAATCCTAACGGTCAGTGAACACCTGCCGGTTTTTTGTTTACTATTTTCAAACGGAAAGTTATGAATGAAAAGTATTGTTCTTTGTTATTATGCTAATGAAAAATTAGAAATTATTGTGTTATTAGCGTTCAGTACACATATTTTCTTAATGCACGATACAAAACAGAGAAAATCTAGGTAAGATAACTTTCAGTTTCTATCACATTTACATTTGATTATAATATAAGTGCATAAAATTTTAAAGTGGTATACATTAACCAAAAGCATATAAATTAATTCAAAGATTTTAAAGAAGTCACATGGACAAAATAAAGTACCATTATATTATAATTACCTAAGTAATTTAAATGTTTCTTAATGTGTGGCATACTACAAACGGTTTTTCTTGATCATTTTTAGATAGTAATGGAATCAATAGACAACAACCAATTTGAGCTGAAACCTGTAAAGAACAAACGGAAGATAGCAGCACCTTGCCCAAACGCGTACCTGAATCCAGCGCTGGATCTCCTTGTGAACGAAGACCCTATGTGTAACACAGCCATGGAAATAGTACCAAATAAGAAACGAAAACGTACAAGAAGTTGCAGTGATATAACCACATTTGAAAATTGTGCATTAGATTTAGGTGCAAATAAGGTACATGTGAATGAATTCTTAGCTCGTGAGCTAGACAATGTTAAAAAGAATGTTAGACTGAACCATGCAGAGGAAACTGCAACAAATAGTGATGTTAATGAACCGGTTTATAGTAATGTAAATATTGTACGACCCTTGTCAGTTAATAGTTCAGTGAACTCATCTGTAAATCTGTCACAAAAAGTTCAGTTGCATAGTATACAAAATAATGCAACACAGGATATAATTTGTACTGAAACTTCAGTGCCAAACAATAACACAATGGATATTTCTTTAGCTAACGAAGATATAGACTCAGGTATATCAGTATTAGATCAAAAATCTTTAAATGAAAACATAAATGTATTATCACCAATAACTAACATTGAGACGAACATCACTAACCAAGTATTTGTAAACAATATGAATAATTCCAGTAATTTGAATCTCAGTTTCATAGACAGACTCGCTTTAGAGTCACCCAACTTGTCAAACCAATCTTTGTTTTATGATGATGACTTGAATGAGAGTAATATTATGGAAATTAAAACTATAACAATTATAACCAAGAAGAAAAGGGTTTGTAACAATAAAAATACAAATCCATTTTTAGATCCTAACTTAGTTAACACAGTTCAAAGCGTAACTAGTCAAAATCCATTTTTAAACTTAGATGAAACCAAACCAGAGTTAGAATACAATGATGATGTTTTGAATAGACCTGCTATAGCTCCAGTGCCATTTGAAAAGGTGCTAGAGCCCCGTCGATTATTTGGAGACACAAACAGCACCATATCAACTGTAAATGAATCTCTGGATGGTCATCATGAATATGAGAATGTAGATAATTATAGATCTGAAAGCCCTCTATATGAAAATATTGAAGAAGTGAATGATTTCAACAAACAAAGCAGAATTCTTGGTCATGATGTTTCACATTTCAGTGCAGTTGATATTATGAACTTAAACAAAAACTCCCAACAAAATTGTACTAATGAATCCAATGACAGTAAAAATAATAAATCTAAAAGTTCATTTTTAAAAGTTGGTAATAAATTGTCCAAAAAAGTTTTTAAAACATTAAAAAAGACATTCAAAGGAGAAAAATCTGAGAACAATATAAGCTTAAACCCTTATGAAGTGCCAAGAAAAGCTTCTAAACCGACTACTGCACCCAAAGAAACAGGTATAGAAAATCCTGCTTTAAATTTAGACAATTCTGATGAGATTGAGATAGAAGAAATTGATGATGAACATCAATATGAAACAGTCAAAACACTAAGAAACACACACCTTAATATGAATATCACTCCATTAAAAGAACGCAATGATAATGCAGACATATCTCATAATAAAACCAATACTCCAGGAAAGAAGGTCCGGTTTGATTCCACTCTGAATCAAGAGAAAGTTATTACAGGAAATAGCTTTGACTATGATATACAAAGTCCAGGGTTTGATGTCAAGTTGGACAAGTATCATGATGAGTTAGAGAACTGTATAAATGAAAGAAAGTTTTTGCAACAGAATATGTGAAAATGTTATTGTTGATATTTATTGTATATTTTGAAAGCCTAGCCTATTTAGAAAGCAGTTAAACATACTTTATGTTTAAGTAATTTTAAGTCATTTTTGATAATTCCATTAAAAATAGGAGTGTTATTGCCAAAAATTTATCCTAATTTCAAAGATTTATTATGAAATTAAGACAAGAGTGCCTAATGTAACTAAAAGATTGCTAAATAACAAAATCACTTGTCAATAGTGAATTTTCTTATTTGGCAATCTTAATATTACAATGATTTGATCTCAGTCTTTAAATATATTTGGCCTTAAATAGTTCCTGTTCCATGATATTTGTATTCTAATCAAGATCTTTTGTAGTTTTTAATATTGGTATAAACATTTAAATATTTTTTCTTCTCATAAGTAATGCTAAGAATTGTTTCAGTTTTACATTATTCATTCAACATTGTGATTTTAGGCCTTGCCACTAAGATTATTTCTAGAAAATATGTAGTGATAGGAAATTATAAATAACTGTAATTTATTCATTTCTGTATTCATTACAGTCGTTAATCACGTCCAAAGCATAATACATTCCAAAGTCATATTTATTTATTTATTTATAAAACGACTTGTTATTTGACAACAAGATAAACCGAAAACCACCTTCATCAGATTTTAAAAGCCGAGATTAGTTAGGTATGCTTTCGCTTGGTTTTCGCCAGATTCGGCAACCGTAAATTATTGTGTCAGAAAATGTATCTCAGGAGGAAATGCTTTTTAGCGTAAACAAGTAAACACGCTAGAATCCTTTTTTCTTTCGAACATATTTTGTTTTTAACAGCACATCAAGTTATTTTATAAGTTTTAAACAAAATACTGCTTTAAGTACGCGTTTATGAGTTCAAATACCATATCTTGTATAATAAGTAGACTTGCAACGAATATTCGGTTACTATTCGGTATTCGGCCTATTCGGCTGCTTTTATTATATTCGGCCGAATACCGAATATCTACATATTATTCGGCCGAATACCGAATACTTAAATAATCTATTTTGTCATTGAGAAATAATTGGTAAAATGAAAAATTAAAATCGATTGATTACGTATATATTAATATTTTCATTTCTGTTATAATCATTTAAGTAGTCATTGGTGCATAACACAGGTACATAATCATCTTCTGAATTGGAAAAATGGAGGATTCTATGTATTTGAATTATTGTGGTAATCAAAATTTAGAAGAGTAAGGTTCTCATTTCTTTTATAATCATTTATTAAGTAGTAATTGATACATAAAACAGGTACATAATTTAATTCACGTCTGTACAAGTTTTTGGCGCTAAAATCCAGCCGAATACTTTTGCCTAATATTCGGCTATTCGGTCAGGGGCCTCGCCGAATATTCGGTATTCGGTATACTGCCGAATATACTATTCGTTGCAAGTCTAATAATAAGTAAACTTACGCCTAGCAGTTAAACTATAAGCTATTAACTATTTATTTTTAAAGTATTTCATTATTTAAAGTACCTAGTATTAATTTATTCTTACCAAATAAAGATAGAATTAATTACTTTTGCTTCTGAATTTTTATATACTTTTCTTTGCCTCAGATGTATATCGAAGCATATTTTATCAAAAGAAATGCCTTCTATCGGCTTCTTTGGAGTTGCGGAGAAATTAAACGTAGGCGTCTGTGATAAAAAGCCTAAAAAGTTAGTGCCTAAAATGAAGATTTCTCTTACTTAAATATAACGTTTACAATTCTACGAAAGGGCCAAAGGCTTTTTGTTCACAAGTTAGAATCTTTCCATTTTACTACAATCAGGCCAGGGGGCAGACAAACAGACGGGTCACCTGATGGAAAGTGAACATCGCCGCCCATGAACGTCTGCAACTCAGGAGTCACAAACGCGTTACCGGCCTTTTAAGAAGGAGTAAGCGCTTTTCTTAAAGGTTTGAAGGTCGTATCGGTCCGGAACTACCGCAGACTATAACCCGCTCCACAGATTGGGCAAAAAGTGTCTCGAAAAGCGCACAGTAGTGGAGCGCCAACTATCCAGGTGATGAGGATGAAAATTTTGCCGTGTGGAACGATGGCGGAAAGTTTCGGCTGATATTAGTCCGAACAATTCCTCGGAGCACTTTCCGGAGCCACATCTCTACGTAACGCCAAGGGATCGAGCCAATTGGAGATGTTTGGGCTATCGACAATTCGAGTCGCTCTTCATTGGATGCGGTCCAGAGGGAGAAGCTGGTACTGCATAGAAATGAGAACAGTATTCCATACGCGGCTAGACTTACGCCTTATAGAGCTGAAGGCGGTGGGCCGGAGTGAAATACTGCCTCGATCTGTTCAGCACACCGAGCTTCTTCGAAGCCAATTTGACCTTACCCTCTATAAGTGACTCCAAAACTGAACTTCGCTCGATATGTCGATGCCTAGTATTCCGATGCTGGCTGAGGCAGTTAGGGAGGTGCTGTCAAACCGATTAACGAATTTCGTGTGCGTTACCCCAGCAAAATAATGTCGAAAATGGTCATTTAAACGTTATAGATAATTAGTTGCTCCCCTTCTGTAATTGTTAGGCACATTTTTAAATTTGTTTCTCTTAAACTTTTTTAGTTATTTCAAAAAAACATTTCCTGCTGGGGTAACGTTTGAAACGTTACCGCAGCCAGACATTTTCTTTCTTAATTGTAATATTGAAATAAATTTTAGCTAGATAATTAGTTATCTGGACTAGGTAAATGTTACAACTTATTTGGTATTTGTATTTTCTTCGGCTGCGAAGTTATTCGAAATCCTGCTGGAGTAACGTTTGTGGGTTTGCTGGATCTCTGAAACGGGTAAGCGGATTGTAACCATCTTTTGTACATAACTTCTTAAGGATTAGTTTTAATTTGTTCGACAATAAAATAACAAAAATAATGGACCGTTTAAAAATTATTTAGGTAAGTATGAAAACACTTCAATACGTCCTAACACTTTAAATAAGACTTCTAAAGACTTACTTCAAACGTTATTCTATTGCTTGTAACTACCTTCAAATGTATACGAATTTTCGTAAGAATACTATAAGTGACTAAAAAGTTATGATGAAATGTAGCTCTCCACGTTCACGATCACAATGTGTGCGGTCTTTTTTGGCCACCGATAAACCTGTGTGTGGATATATAAACTGAATGTTATGCCAATAATTAGTTGTTTAGTTCAGTTGTCTACCTGTAAAATTTCAGCGTAGTACATATAATAATTTACGAGATACTTAAATAAAAGTCATTAGAAGGTGCAAGACCGTGGTAACCCGACCATGTTTAGGTGGTTACAAAAAAGCGATCACCCAGTACATTGTGCTGGCTTTTAAAATATGTAGGATATTATTTGCAAGTTTACTACGGATATGTACATAAGTGTTACAAAAAACTACATGTTTTTTAAATAATGTTTATTTAGAATTATTTATTGCATAATTAGTAATCAGCCGGGAGATTAGGTATTGTTTTGAATGCTTTTGTTTTCTCGTAATGTTTAGGTGAATTGTTTATAGTTATTCATAGAATTGGTACCTGCGTAGTATTTGTTAATTGAAGTTTAATTTTAGGGTAGGTATAGGTAATTTAAGTTTCGATAGCCTGATTGCGGCTATCGTGCGGAGCGAGAGTGCGTGGAACTCTGCCGTCTCCTTCTGCGAGCAAGTTATGCTCGCGAAGGAGACGGCGGAGCGGGACCGGGAGAGGTTTAGAACTCTCCCGGCCCGCCAGGCCCGGGCACGGGCCAGGCAGCGCAGGCGACTCAGGCGCCGGAGGTCGCAGAATGACCTCCGTCCTCCATAAGCGCAGGCCTGGGGGTGACAGGTGAGGCCATCTGTCACCCTAGCAGAAGCAGGCCGGGGTGGCGGCGAGCGCGTTGCGAAGCGCGCTCGCTTCCAGGGAGCACAGGGAACATGGGGTTCCCACACGGGGCGGGGGTCGTCTACTCGTCTGTAGATGACCCGAGGTATGTCGGGGCACCAGGGCCTTCCTTTCTAGGGTATACCTGGTTCCCCGGCAATTAGTACCCGGCGAAGGCGTGCGGTTTTAGTCGGTTCGAGTCCGACATGCCACCGACAGGTGGTATCCGAGGGGATTTCCGCACGGAAAAAAAAAAAAAAAAAAAAAAAAAAAAAGGTAATTTAAGTTTTGAAGAGTGTAACGTATGCGTTGTAAATAGGTATTTTGTGAATAGATGGGGATTTTTTTAAGTGATGAATTGACTTAGGCTAGCATATCGCGAACAAACTCTGTATTGCAATATTTCTGTAATAATGTTGGAGAAAATAAAATATTTGATCACAAAATCGCGGTGAGTTAAATTATAATAAAATAAATTATTTATATAAAATTAGTAATAAGTGATATACCTACCTACAAGTTATGATCGTTTTTAATTGGTTCACCCTGAACAAAATTTCAATATTAGCATTAGTAATTAATATCCTAAGACAAGAATTGACAATTACTTAAATTGAATCGAATTAGCATTAATGCCCATTATTAGTAATTAGGTACACACATATTAAAGAACTCTCAAGAATACGATAAATATTTGCAAAAATAGAAAGCGGAAGCGCACACGTACTTTACAACACGTATATTATCTGCCTAAGGGTCAAGTTTAGTGCACTAGATGCAAATTGCAAACAATGAAGTATCCCTTCGCCCCTCCCCTCCCGCGTTCTAGCGAAGGATGTATTATCAGCGATTCTTGATTGACAAATATTATCTGACCAATAATTTTATCTATAAAAATGTATCACTTTCACTCGATAAATTAAATTACCGTTATTAGATCAAAATATCATTCAACAACTGTTCGTTTTTAACAGAAATCAACAGTCACGGGCTCAACGCTTAACGGTAGGTACATAGGTATAGATAATTCTCGGTTCTCGGTATAGACCACAGAACAATATTACCTACTCTTACGAGGTATACGACTGTTGGGCGATGCAATGTTGATGCATTCTAATTTACAACTGAATTC